GGGGGTAGGGGAGGTGGTGTTATCCATTAAATTATTTGCAGAAATACCTATGCGATGTTTTAAAAGTTCATGTGAATAAAAAGTTTCCATGAGCAATTTAAAGGTATTTTTCTTCTGAGTTGCTAATAATTGTTCCAATACCTGATACATTCATTCAGAAACGAATGTATCTTGTCTCTGACTAGATCAGACAGTTGTATACAGTGTGTGTAGTCTAATACAGTGTCTACACTTAGAATTTAAATGCCGTTTTTAAATGTCAACTTTCTGTTCCTTAAGATTTGCAGAAGAGGCTAAGATAAGTAAATTTCTTTTGGGTTTCTTGTTTTTTAATGCTTTCTCACAACTTGTCTTCATGCATTCTTTCTTACACTGTAATGTGCTATGTTTAAAGCTATAGAGTACTTACATGTTCTTCACTTATCATTTGTATCATTTAATTTGTGAAGTATTATCTGGGCAAGCTTCATATAATCTGTATATTTGGATAGGTGAATAGTAGTTTTATACCTTCAGTTTTAAAAACTAGCTGCTTGAAACATACTTGGACACTTCTTGATAGAAGGTCACTGTTGCACAGATCTGTGTCTTGTATTTGTGATACCACATGTACATGCACATAGGGAGAACAACTTGGAAACTGGATAGATAGTGCAAGGGGAAATCAGTAATTGCCCACATCACATCTAATATTTGAATAGACAGCAGTTGTTGCGCTCCAGAGCGTAAATCTACATGAGCCACAATCATCAGTTACCCTTATCTTAAAAATGTTATGTACTCTGTATATAATGTACTGCCATGGTTGTTTCTCTCCAAATTTGTAAACAACTGCCAGTAGCTTTTTGGAATATCTAGTTTTCTCACTAACATAGTAGAAGAACCCAAAACGTATGTCCCCCACTGCCCCAAACCATGCTTAGCAAAGATAAGTATATATTTGTTGGCTAGTATGAACCCAAAAATAATAGGTGAAACATGGGCTCAATAGCAAAATGTTACAAAGAGCAAATCCCATTTGAAGTATTGTCCTTAGGTAGGGATATTAAAAATACTATTTTTATATCTTGGGAAGAGAGCAGAAATAGAATTTTTGATAGATGAAAGACATTTTCTCTCCTTCTCTTTCTCTGTTTTCTTGGTTGAGGGTTTTTTCCTTTCCCATGGGAAAAGGTGAGCTGGAGTAGGGGGGATAGCAGGGTTGATTTGTTGATTTCCTTGTTTTAGAAAGCATTCCCAAAGTGTTCGTTGGGTTTTATTTCATCTGGTTTTACACATCCATTTTAAAGTTTCAGGGAGCCATGAAGATGGTGTTTTATGGATAGCAATGGCAGGCACTCACCAGATTTGGGCACTGATGTTGGAAGATGGAAAATTACCAAAAGGAAGGTAAGCAATTAATGAGACATGTGAAATTGCTGTTTGTCTTGATAAACAGCTTTCAAACCCCAAAGGGAGAGATAATCAAATTAAAAATAACTTTGCTTGACTGTACTTAGCTTGAAGCTTGCTGCTTCTGTTTAGACTTAAAAGGCATGTGGCCTTTAAAGTCTGCATGTTTTTTCCCCGCATCTGTTAGATGGCATGAAAGATGCTACTTTTGCTATAAATCTGTGACTTGGTAGAATACATTCGTATAATTGATTGGTACTTTTCATTGCATTTGCTGAATTATCTAGTGAGGAATGATATACTGAGGTGAAATACAAGTTAGCAGAAAGGCACTGAATATTTCCTTGTGCTGCAGTAAAGTTGGTTTCATAACTTGCAAGTGCTTGTCCTGTAGCTTCTGTTTGTGCATAATGTTTGAAGTAGTTCAGACTCATTCCTGAACTTGGGTACTGTTTTCCTTTAGTGATTTAAAGAAAGGAGTCTGCCTTCGATTTGCTGGAAGTGGGAATGAGGAGAACAGAAACAATGCATACCCTCATAAGGCAGGCTTTGCCCAGCCTTCGGGTCTCTCTCTGGCTTCCGAGGAACCATGGAACTGCCTTTTTGTAGCAGACAGCGAGAGCAGCACTGTGCGAACCATCGCCCTGAAAGACGGAGCAGTGAAGCACCTTGTAGGAGGAGAGAGAGATCCATTGGTAATCACTTCAAACTTCCCTCCACTGCCCTACTAATATTCCTCAAGCCTGACCTGGAGGAACCACTTTTGGGGTGAGAGGGTAAATCAGTTTCCATGGCCATCAATTTCTTAACTTCACTGCTCAGAATGCAAATGTGTGCCAGTTGTGACACTCGAGTCATAGTGCAGATTGATGCTCCTCAGATAACAAATCACTTATTTTATAAAGCCAACTCAGTTCAGCATTGTGTGGTCATTAAAGCCAGCTGGATTCATACTGCAAATTTAAATGTGAGAGTTTCCATTTCCATGGTTAGCATCCACACTTCCCAGTTTTCAGTATCCTTGTTTTGACATGGTCTTGATTATTTTTTTAAATTCAGTGAATTTCCATTTAATTACAATCATTTAAATTCATGTCAACGTTGAATAAACAAATGTATTAATTTAATAAAAT